CACGGGAATGTAACATGCAAAGTCAAGTTTTTGGCTGAACTTTAGTGATGAAATGAGCATTGGATGTTGAGTAATGGCACTAACTGAGGGTCCAAGATGCGAGTTTCAAAGAAATTTGTATGCTGGTGATGCCATTATTTTGCTCCACAAAGATGGCTGCCATTTCACTTGCGGATCAAGCTTTCGGTGTATATTTTCAATGTAATGCAATGAATCAAGCTTGAAATTGGAGGAAAACAAATTTGTTGTATGAGCATTCATATCTGTAAATGTTATGTATACAAGTTGAACAGAATGTTCACACAGTTAGGATTCGCATTTTGTCTTGGAGGGCCAAAGTGACGCATGACGGATTGACTGGCTTGAAATTTAGAAGGATTTTCACTACAAGGAGTGCATTATTTTCCAAATATCACTTGTATCCTTAGAATTAGTTAACATTATTTATTTCTTACAACTGACAAGAATAATCTGTTGTTGTTTTTTGTATGTTTTGTTGAGATATTCAACAAAACACATTCGTCTCTTGCCACTTAAGCGATTTGTACACCCGAAGCGTGCTACAGGTCTTATCCTTTTTTCCTCACTTCAGCTGATAAGCAAAACATAACAAAACAAGTTTGTCAAGGTGAACTATTCCACATGTAAAGCATCACAACGCTTTGTGGTTGTACATGGCAAGCATCAAATTGCTCCTTCTGACCTTGTTAATTTGAAATCAAGTACAGTTTCCACCACATCTTTGAGTTCAACACTGGTCACCAAAAGTAATTTTCACATGCAATGGCGACTAAAATGTTGACAGCTTAGAGTGTTGCCTTAGTGTGAACCCAACCATGGTTGAAGTGATCCCTTAAGACATCAGTGCAGCTAATTTAACCCTTTGAGAGAAAAGTTCACTTTTCCTCTTTCTTGTAGTTTTCAGTTTAAGACCACTCTTCCACAAATGTCAAAAATACAACATAAAAAGGCAACATCAAGTGAAGGAACATAAATCAAAGCTAACAAACTGTGTACTGTACCAGTCTGTGCTGCACAGGGAGAAGAAACCTGAATATTAGCTAGAATCAAAACAGTAACAATCAACAGGATTTCAAGTGCTTAAGGCTCGACTAATAATCACCAGTACAATACATCTCGCACAAAGATCACTAAGTACAAATAAAGGAACATATACTCCATTTATTGTCAGGATGACATGTTATTAATCGTAGGCCATTTCCAATAACTAATAGACAAACGTTAGATGACTAAGCTTGCCATACATAAACTTCGCTAGCAATTGGTGGACCCATTACATTATGGATCAGGTCTCAGACTATATTCTGTTGGTTACAAGTTGTCAAGTGAGGTCATACAGAAGCTTATGCAGGAATGGAGAATATGTTAACTTTTTTTTCATTAGAAACTACCTTCCCCCTCCGCCTCCCCCGCCCTATCCCCTCCCCTTCAATGTCATGACCAGAAGCTTGAAATTTTACACTACTGCAAAGTCAATTAACACCAAGCAATATGTACAACACATGAACACACACGCACACACAAGGACCAAAATTAACATCAATATTTTAATTATGCCAAAGTTTACCTCTACTGTAACAAAAGCACCATCACTCACATACAATGACCCCACAAAACAGTACTCATTTAAACCCACATTGTTAACTGACGCTTATAAGCCCTGGGCTTATACAACTTCACAATGGGTTTTGCATGGGCTTATAAATGGAGGGTGCATACATCTGGGGGGGAGGGGGAGATTATTAGCAGAATAAAATGAAAACCGTTTCAAAATGAGCTACAGCAGTTTTGATCAAAATACATTTTTCAGTAACAGGTTTTTAATTAAGCTTTTAACGTCATCATAAATCAAATTCATTTCAGTTGAAACAAGAGGGGGCTTGTATCCAGGGGCTTATACACCTTTTGCTGTTCATTTACAGAAAATAAACATTCATTTGTGTCCAAATTTCTTTCACTATGGTCATTAAACTCTCATTAACACCAATATG